ACAGGAGTGTATTACAAGCAGGAACTCAACGTTTCATATTCTCAAACATGGATCCACTCATCTCTGCGCTGGCTGTTATGAATGCACTGATGATCTTTGGGAGACACTGCAGCCATGCACTGTTTGGAGCCATTTGGACACAGCAGTGCAGACAGGTGTACAAATGTTTTATTATTGTTATTATTAGACAACTTCTATTTGTTTTTGTTGCATCATTGCTATGAAAGGCAGAGCAGACATGAGTGGAAATACGTTTTAAGAGAATATAACAACAACCACCATGCTTGACCCAAGAAAGGGGAAAAATGTGACCTTTAATGAAAACAGAGCAGCTGATGAAAGTTTTCTGAGAATAACTGCAGCAACAGTAAAATACAGCCAGCCAACTCCACTGCCAGGAGGAGAGGAGGCAACAGAGGAGCAAGAGGAGTCACAAGCTTCTAATGTTTGGAGGTTCAACTGGAGACACTAAGAGAAGGAATCCCTCAGCTGATGCAACGCGTGAGGAGCTTCTATTCCACTGACCCGCTGAGCCCAAGGCTACAATCCGTCCACGTCTTACACTGACATGAAGACTGTGCGTGGTATCAGTCCCCTCTGTTTTATCTCCTTTAAAACAGAGAAGAACCACGATTAACCCCTCAAAGCTGAGGCGCACGGCTTTTCGTAATGCCAATCGTCACTAACAGCTAAATCTGTTACCTGCTGTTTTATTTGTTTCACAGATTTAAATGCATATTTTCTAATGTGATTCTGTTTTACTGTAAATAGTTAAAAGCGTATAAATATTAAAGATACGATCAGAGACTGAATCTTTTGTCACTTTGAGATGGGTCTTTGTTTTGTACTATTTCTTTTTCCCAGCACTCTGTTCCATGTTTAGTGTCATAACTCATAAATAATAACATTCGTTATAATATGTGGTTTGTACATTAGTCATTTATTTTATACAAACATTTACTTAAATCCATCCATCCATCTTCATCCGCTTTATCCGAGGCCGGGTCGCGGGGGCAGCAGCCTAAGCAAAGA